ATTAATTATAGCAATTGACAAAGCATCAGATCACCACATGACAAAATGGATAGAGGAACATGTCACAAAAACGTAGTCAAGAGGGTGTGTATGTGTGTGTATGTGTGTGCATGTGCATGTGCCTTGGTAAGCATATAAGCCACTGAAGAGCATGAAATGATGATGCTTCTTCACTGAGGCAACAGACTAACACACACACCTATAAAAGATTAAAATAAACAATATCATGTAAATACCAACATATGGGTATGAATTGGTCCAACAAACAAATATAAATAAAATTTTAAGTTGTACAGAGTTTCACAAGGATCTATGATTTATGATATTCACCATATGTTTTTACAACCACATTGCCAGAATCAGCATTTTCAACACACAAAGCGGGATATGCATCATCTAGTCTAGATCCATGTGCAACATGTATAAAGATTTTAAGAACTAAAAGACACAACTGAGTATCACTGGAGTAATGTGCAATAATAGTGGGTGCTTTTTTTAAGTATGGAAGCTGTGGGACTACTTCACCCCTCACCATACTCTAATACCTTTATGAGTTACTTTTAAAACCTTAGAATAAGTTTTCAAACTCAGTTCATTGACTGCCCTACTGAAAATCAATGGACTCACATTTACATTTTATAATATACAAAATGATGATTTATAAATTTGACATTAGATAATAGGTGCTCTTTTCTCTTTTCTTTATTCAGCTCCTGATATTATCAGCTTAGCCACAACAGTGTATCATTGCAACATTCTGCATCAGCAAATTGATATATAGGACCAGCAAAGGCCCATACCCTCTCTTTTCAAATTACCTATCTGCTTGTGCTATAAGTCACAGCAAAGCATCATTAATAACACTGCACATATCTGTTGATATTTAATAATACCCTGTCGTTCAAATGTTTGTGTGTACATGTGGCTGAAAACAACATGCACTGCCACCGGATTGAAAATGGTGATGCACATCCCCATCTAAACCAGAGATTCAAGACATTGCTGTTGTCCACTTGAGATAAACTGGCCTGATAGTAGGGTCCTACTTCAATCCCAATGATGGGTCAGTGTCCTCTACATCCTCTGAAAACATCAAGCTAGCTGAGGGATTGTGGGGCAGGCTATGTGGCACACACCTCTCTGTCCTTTAAGAGAGTGGTATGGCTTAGCAAGAGGACAAACCCTGAAGGCAGTTTTCTCTCTGGACTGCAGAACTTTCAGAAATGTACTTGAAGGCTGTGAGCCTTGAAGCAGCAATGGAGATGTCTGAAGGCATGAAGACCACAGTGGCACCAAAGCGAACAACAAAAACAACCACAGGAAAGTACCCCATATATCTGAGGAAGGAGACACAAGTATGAGCTTTCACTAACTTGCATCTACTTCCTCAGATGCATGGGGTACTTCCTGTTCCCTTAGCAACAGGAAATGAGTCAAAAGAAGAGAGGAAACAGAACCCACTATATAACTAAAAACACAACCAAATCTCCATTTCCTCAGCATTCAAAAAGGCCAATGGAGAACATTCCCTTCAGTTTGAGCAGTGGGAGTCAAGTAGGGATTCCCACCAAAACCTTTCCTTGATTCTACAATAATCTGAACAAGGCTCTGCTGCAGGCACAAAACCCATGCTGCTCAGCAATCACAGCGTAGAACTTTCACATAAAACACCACTTGGACACTGGATTCTGCCTTGATGAATCAGATCTACTATTAAACACATTTTAAAGAAAAATCCTAGCTTCAATGTAGCCTTTATGGTAGTAGTAGTTATATGAGCTTTTTATTATTGTATATAATTTAGAGAAAATTAAGGCTACTAAAGTAAATAGAAATGTGAATGCACAGAAGAGAATATACCTCCTGTGTTTCAAATGTGAAAATTCTATATATAAAAATGAAGCATTATTAGCAGAATTAACTGCTGCTGACAGGCAGCTTCCTGCTTTTCCAAACATAACTTTCTGCACATGGTTTTAGAAAATGCTTAATTTAATCAGAGGTAGCCAACCGTTAACATATACTGATCCTACAATGGATCTCAGACTCAATTGAGACATATCGAATGCAGTGAGAAAAATTGATTATTTTTCTTCTCTTTCTTGGAACAAGCTTCCCAAATCTGTCAAGTATGATAATGTCCAAGAAAGTCAAATATGCTGGAGGATCATTTATGGGATAGAAATTGACTGAGAGTGAGAAAAAAAGAAAACTGATGGATTGAAATTACAATGTCATAACAAACTTACCCAGCTCCACGTCTTGGTCATCTGTGAGTACCAGGATAATGTTTGGTCTAATATTTTTCCGCTCCTGCACACGTCCTCTGAACCTTGGAGATTTGACAGTAGTACTGAGGCTCTTAAGCAGTTCAGTGCCAAGCACAGTCCATACAAGAGCAATGTAATAATGATTCATTGTTAGCTGTTCAATACTGCAGTGAACCTCCTGTGGAAATGCTTCTGTTTCTTAATTTTCAAGTTCTGCAAAATTACCTAGGTGGGGAAAGAAAAGTTTAAAAAGCTCAGCTCTTCTTCCAAAGCCACATAAAAAAAAGGGAATAGTCCAACTGAGGTCAACTACTGTATAGTTACAACTCCAAGCCTAACCCATTTACACAGCAGTAAATCCAACTCAATTAAATGATTAGATACATCTAGGGACAACAGAGAAAGTTGCTCTTGGACCTGCTTTTTCAAAATGAAATTAATATTCTTTTACTACAATTCTCCCACATTTTTAGTTCAGCACTAGCTGAACTATTTCAGATTTTTGATTTAACTGATTTCAACAGGCACTGCAATTTTGTTTACAGTTGATTTTAAGTTAAACATAATACGTACATACATCTTGCATTTGGGAAAGCTACTAATACACTCACTAAAAGCATTTGAACAGCATAGTCTCAAGCCTGTCTACTCAACAGTAAGTTCCACTGATTTCACTCATTTTACTACCACAATTGGGCATACAATTGCAACTCAAACAACTTTCAAAGTTATGCACACATTTAACTACTTAATTCTCTGTTGAAAGAGTAAGCCTCTAAGTAGCACACTGAACAACCCTTCCTAGTGGCAATGAAAGGAGAAGTCAATTAAGTTTCCCTCTGCTAATATAAAGTTGCAAAGAAAACCTCATGATAGGTTTGCCTTAGGGTCACCATAAATCAGAAACAACTTGAAGGCACAATACTCAATTAAAAGGATTGCATATTGTTGGCAACACTAAGAATTTCTTAGAAAAATTAATTTGCTTGCACTTTTTAAAAACGTTTATTACATTTCTAGAAGCCTTTAAAAATAACAGGTGCTCATGTTTGAATCCCATGGCATGCAGAAAAGTAGGGCTATTTTAGATAAACTCACCAGCACTTGTAAGGCCAAGAAAAAGGCATGGCTGTGTTGGTTGTAATCTGCACTATAACTGTATTTGATTCTACTCTGCTTCTATTTTGTAAGTTAACAAACAGCTCATATTAAGTGACAGTCCAGAGAATCTCACCCAGCTCTATGAAAGGCCAGACATTGATATCCCTCATCAATCAGCAATGGGGCTGAGCACATCATCTATAATGCATAGGGAACCCTCTTCTCCATTTCCAGATTTGGCTCACTGAACCTACCGGAACCACTTTTGCAGCTACTGTCAGTCAAACAGCCCTGCTATTATAAGCCCTAATTCAACCTCAGGAGGGGTCTCCTATCACCAGAACAGACCTAAAACCCACAAGGGCAAATGATTGATTGGCCTGGTGACTAAAAAGTTTAGCCTTTCCTTTCTCATTCTTTGGCCTGTTGACAGAAACTCCACCATGAGGATAAGAAAGATGTGATAACACTAACTTAATTTGGAGCTTAATTGGTTGTAACTTAAAACAACAGCAAGGAAGCTTGATGGCAAACAGTTTGAAGAGGCTTATTCCATGGGAAAAAGGCTGCCTAGAAAATGGGTGACACCAGCAATAATCAGAATGGGACACCAACTCATCAGGCTGTCAGTAATCCCACACTTGAGACTTCATATTTAGACATGCAACATTAACTAGTAGGAGATAAATCAGCAGAACTAATTAAATGGAAGCATAGCATAGCAGAAAAGGAAGGGGATGAGTGGGTTGGAACGGTCCCATCACTCATTTCAAAACACAAAAAAGAGATGGGACTCCTTAGGGAGAAATTTGATATACACCATATATGTACAAGAGAGTATGTGTACTTAAAAACAGGGCTTTTCTTATTTTTACATGCATCCATTGCTTGAAGCTTCTCAACACTGCCTACAAAATCATACATCTCACTCTCAGTGATAATAGCACCAGAAGAGTGTGTCCTGAAGGCATTTCAAAACAAAACCCCAAGCGTCTGCAAGCAAAGAAATGCTGATTCCATTGTCTAGGCACAAACATTCCAGATCTCTGATTGACATTACAGCAACCTAAAGGCAGGATGTCTGAAGATTCAGCATTCTCAGTTAAATGCCATTGCCCTGACTATACAACATTCCGATAAGTAGACTGGAAGCCAGCAATTAGTCTGAGTTGGACTGTTTTCTTCTTCTTAAGAATGTGTTGGTTTTTCAATCCATTTGCTACAGCTGATATATGATAGATGATGATGCAGAACAGAATGACTGGCTAAATAAGTATTTTCCATTTGATTTAAGCACTACTGCCTCCACTTATTGCAAAAGTTAGGCAAACATTTTCTCTGGGCTTCTCTTTAATGACCAAAACTTAGACTTCACTCTCGAAGGCCAAAAGGAAGAGGACGTGGGAGTAAATAAGTGTAAATGTTCAGTATTTTTTGAATCAGTTTTACACTGTCTAGAATTCTCTCCTCCCATATAATGTCACAGAAAATCAGCCATACTAAATGCACTATGTAAACACCAGATGCAGGATGGTTGAACAATCTCAGTGTAGGCTTGAGGCGACACTGGGCAGAAAAGCCTTTGGTGGATCCTTAATTCTATAAATGGATCTTGGTAGGCTTATTTGAGGAGTCAGCATGGGATAATGGTTTGGGTGTTAGACTAGGATTCTGGAGACAAGGGTTCAAATCCCCATTCCTCCATGGAAATGAACTGGGTGACTTTGGGCAAGTCATACTCTCTCAGCCTCAGAGCAAGGCCATGGCAAACTTCCTCTGAACAAGTATTACCAAGAAAAGCTTGTGATAGGTTCTCATTAGGGTCGCCATAAGTCAGAGACAAAGGTGACTTATCTGGCAGTAGTAGCAGCAGTAATGTCCAAAGCAGCTAGATACAGCTTCCATCTTAATTTCCTATTTTTCAAATGCAACATTATTCTAGGGCATTGTGCTAAATTCAATAGTGGGCTGTCTTGAGAAAAATAATAATAAAAGTGTATGAGTGATACTGAGAAGATTGCCTGCTGGTACACATGGGATTATGATTTCTACATCTAGAGGGCTAGAAGAGGGCTTTCTGGACTGACAACCACCATAGCTACAGCTGGTGAAGACACAGGAGAGAGCCTTCTTGGTAGCTGCTCCCAAGTTATGGAACTCCCTTTCTTGGGAAGTCTGGTTGCTCCCTTCCACACTGTCTTTTTATTTAGGGTGGTGTTTCATTTTTAATATGTTGCAGCAGATGGCATCTTTTAATGGGAAATGTTGTGTCCCATTTTATTATGTTTTACAGTTGCCTTTCCATTTTCAAATGGGATCTGTTCCGGAGGACCCTCCCCCCCCAATGGAAATTCATCAATATTCAAGCCCCATTGGCTTGAATAGTGCGCGTGCACCCACCATGGGCGTGTGCCCTATTTTATCCCCTTCCGTTTGCCACCCACGAACAAGCGAGGGACATGGACTCCAAGTCTGCAAAAATGGAGCGGCAACTGTATAGGTGTTTTAAAACTAAACTTTTTTTCCAGCTGTATTATGCTTTAAATAGTTGTATGCTATCTTGAATCCTATTGTGGGAGAAAGGTGAAATATAAATTAAATTAATAAAGCAATCTGATCTTATGGCTTGCACTCTCTCCCTTGGCACACATTTTCATTTACTCATTGTGGCTCTTTCCCACAATGTTTTTGTTCCTGACAGCCTTCATTCCCCCTGGTCCCTATCCAATGAGAAGGGGTCAAGGGGTAAATGAAGTTAAGCTAAGGGATGTATCCATGCAAGTTGCCAATCTGTGATCTAGAAAGACCCTCAGGAGCTACCACTATTTGCAATAATACGGTAGTCTTCAATAGCTCCAACTGGTCTCTATCCCAAATGTCTCTTCTGCACATACAGCAGCTGCTTTTTGTGTCTTAAATGAAAGTAATGATCTCCCAGTCCCTGCAAAGATAGAGGCTGCTGAGAAAGGCAACTACAGCCATTTCTGGATTTTTCTCATTTGTCTGATGAGCATTACATATGGAAGTCTAGGTTCAGCATTTATATACTGTTTATGATCTATTCATGCTAAATATATGACATCGCTGGCTGGGTGAGTGAATGGACGAATTAAAAAAATAATTTAAAAAACAAATAAGCAAAAACAGGGGTGGAGATAGAATCTTGTTGGCAGGATGTGCTCCACCTTCTGTGTATTCATTCAATATCTATATAAATCTGTATTGTACATGAGTAGATACTTCTCACAGGACCACAACATGCAAAAAAAGAAACTCAGGGAAGGATATATATTATAAATGCACACTACCCCAATTTTGCAAGGACAGTTCCAATTAATCTTCTGTTGTCCAACAACCAGTATGTATGTGGCCAAGCAAAACTAGAGTATAGTAAAGATGGCTGAAGTTATTAATGAGGAAGAACATACAAGCTAAGAGACGCTATAGCAGTTTGTATTTTCTGCCCCTTCCTCTCTTCTTCTTTCCTGTCCCTCCAACTGAGCTAATGGAGTGTACATTACCCAGGCAAGTTGAACTCAAGTTTTCAGCAACTAAGGTGAACTGAGGACGAAGGGAGAAAGGAGGAGGAGGAGAAAGAAACTGAGACATTCTAAAAGCAGCTGAAAAAGTGGGATGACATAGGATCAGGACTGTCTCTGCCAGATCAAGAAAACTGGAAGGCACACAAAATTGGAAGGTACTGCCACATTTCCTTTTTCATTGGCAATCCTCTCTCCCCCAAATGACCTTATAAAAACCCATCATCCTCTCACAGCCTGGCCTCTAGTGCCTGAAAGAAATGGAGCAAAGAACCACACCTATAAAATACAGCGCTTCACAGGGGATACAAGAACGTAGTGCAGTGTTTGTTTTGGCTACTTCACCTTAGTCTGCAAGTGTCCTCAGAGACACTGCAATTTGTCTTTGAGAAATAGTCAAAAGCAGGAAAAATTAAAGAGGCCTTGTTCTTCACACATGGTAAGTGAACGTAAGACATTGTGCAGTGTCCAAGAATCAAGAAGAGACTACAAGTTGCCTTTCTTCCCAAAGGTATATGAAAACATATTGACTGCAACTGAAAAATATGCTACGTGGAAAAATATACAAATGCTTTTTTGTATGGCCATGTATATAATCACATTCCCTAGATGGAAGGAATGAGAGGAGATGTATTTTGAAGTATTTCACTGGCCTCTACCCCTTTCCCACAAACAAACAGATCCTAAAGAAATCAGTTGTGCAATAGGTCCTAG